ATCATCATCATCATCATCATCATCATCATCATCATCATCATCATCATAACACATCATCAAGATTTCAAGAGATCATCAAGATTACTCCTTGTGTCCCTTGGGGGCCATTGCAGGACCAAGTGCAAAACGTCTGTCCCTTCTTGTGGTCAAAGGCATTCTTTTACAGTTGAAGAGAACATCCACTGGGCGAAGTGACATTAAAGTTGCACTTTCACATGTAATACTAAAATTAATTGAAGTATTGAAACCCTTCCAAAAAGAATCGACACGCTGCTTACGACGACTGGTGGGTAAAATATTGAGTTATTTAAAATCAATTGTTCAGGCCGAATGTGAGTGTGGTTTGGGTCTATCTGAGCTATCTATATGCCACAGACTCTTTTGCACCAAGCGAAGGGACCAAAGACTCTAGATCCCTCTAAGGAGCATGGCAGCCAGATTGCCTGAAAACCCACAGCTCCCACCATCTTCAAGCCCTTTCAGAGGCGAATCCACCCAGATGGCATCCCTTCCCGATTCAGATCACCCCCTGAGATCACCGGATGCGCCCCGGCACATTTCTTCTCGTTGGCGCCACAGGTCACTGGGCAGCCCTCGTCCTTGAAGATGCAGCCCGTGTTCGGGCAACGTTCCGCCTCTTTGCCACCTGGCCGGCAACGTTCAGCGATCCAAGGTGGGTGGTCAGCACCACCTGCAGTTCGACCCTTTTAGGATGAGAAGAGCTGATAAGCCACTGAACAGTGGCATCTCCTGAAGCACGGTTGAAGATAGAAATGTACGATTAACATATAAAACACCTGAGGGCTTCTTTCCACCTCCATGCTTTGTCGAGCCATCTGAGTTCCGCACAGGGGCAATTTTCGTGGCTGGTGGCACACTTCACAGAAGGAGTCACAAAGCCTGGAGCAGCGTGTTCACGTGTTTGGACGGGTAGATCAAGGGTGTTTTGATTGAGAACACACCAGTTGTGGCAAGGAAATCACATTGACCCCAGGTCAACCACCCCAATGTAATTAGGTAAACATGTAAATGTATGGGAAATGGAACCTCATGTTTTTTGTTGGTTGGCCTCCTTGTGCTACCGACTGGTCACGTTTCCCCATTTACGCACAGCCCGATTTCTCATCCGATGGAGGTTTCTGCGGCAAAATTAGTTGCGGCACTGCTTGACAACTGGGTCATCTGCAGCAGAGAAAATGAGTAGGGTATATTTCCCAATCAAGGCTGCAATAGATGACCTGTTGATTGATGGTCATCCCAGCCTTGTTGATTGCTGGTGCTTGATTTCCCAATCAAGGCTGCAATCAACACATAGTTGTGCCCACCGAAAGAACCTTTCTTTGTGCTTTCAATTGACATTGGACACCTGGCAGACCGATTATACCGTCCACCTCCGGTCATACACCATGTATATAATCAGTGTCTTCTAAGAAAGACGATCACCGTCGATCTCTCTCGTGACCCAAAGAGTGTCACATCGCAGTCCAGAGAGGTGGTGTCAAGTGGTGTCATCCGCCCAAACCTCCGAGTTCTGCTGCAGCTGCAGATGCAGCTGCTGCAGCTGCAGCTGCATCGTCAGCCCAAAAACCGCAGGACTTCTGCTGCCATGTCGCCCAAAGAGGTGCCGTTCGGCAAGTAGTCTTCCACCAGATCACACGCCACCTCGCCCTGCGCGGCGTGGTGTGAGTTGGAGGAAGATCCGGAGGAAGGACGATCCACCTGTCATGTTCAGTACTGGTTCGTTTTACAGAAACGGGAGGTTTCTGTCGGGAAGTCGAGATTGCATGAAAACAGGCAGTAGTACAGGACTGTACCATTGTGTGCGTCTAGTGACTAGTGACTCACTCGGCTAAAAATATATTAACATGTCCTTCTCATGGCTCCGAACCATTCAGATCCTTCCTGGAAATCATTGACCTAAAAGACTTCAGACTTCAGACACTCTTAAGCACTCCTCGGTCCCCTACTCAACCTTTCCTTTCGTAACCGTAGCAGCCCGATGCGGATGCGGCGCGATGCGGCGGCGCGCCGTGGGACAGTCGGAGGGGCAGTAAGAGTTAGGGCCGCTGGTGGGCAAGCATTCAGTCCATGAGCCCCACGTCCTGAAGTTTCAGGCAGCAGTTTCAGGCGACGTCACCTACTCGTAGACAGTTCATCAGCGATTTGTTCAGGGCAGTATCAAACTAAACTCCTGGTGTTTTTTTGTGTTACTTCCGATGTCTGTCTCAGGTACTGTAATGGAAAGACCGGATTAATAACCCCCCCCCCCACATGGTAGGTCAACAAGGTCAACAAGGAATGAGATAACCACTCATGAGGTCCACTCCCCCTGAATTGTCGGCTCAGGGAGCCATCGTAGTCGTAGTCGTCGTCGGTAGTAGGTAGTAGGTAGTAGGTAGTAGGTCGTAGGTCGTAGGTCGTAGGTCGTAGGTCGTAGGTCGTAGG